GGTCTTATGAAGTAGCTATGCCCCACAGGGTGATTCGTAGAAATAAGAAGTATTTAGCTCCATGTGGTCATGAGGATGACCTCCCACCACAAATTGAGGTAAATGGAAAATCTGAAACCACAGTTCAGGGAGCACCATTGACCATGGGGACTGAAAAGCAAAATGTGGTACACAGACCCCAGCCTGAATCATCTACTCTGCAAGAATCAAACTTTACTGAATATAGAACCAGATCAGGCAGAGTCATTAAACCTCCCAAGAGATTAGATTTGTAGTTCTTTTGACTTGCAATTACTGTATTTCTTCAGATAGTTTCGATTTTTGCCAGCCTTATTGGCATTAATGTGTTGTATTTTTGAAGTTGTTCGCATTGTACTGAAATTGTACTTTATGGTGAGTTTGACTTGTAAGGGGGATGTTGTGTTAGCTATTTATAGCCTCGGGGTGCTTCGGGTTAACTCGGGGTACTTCGTGGGGATACGCAGACGACATTGTAACATTTGTTAGTTACCGATAATAAATCTGGATGGATATTCACCATTATCCTGGAAGTGATCTGAGTTATTTGATAACACTACAGGACATGTGTATAATAACAGAACCCCACACCCTCCCCGTGGCTTCGCTCGTGAAAGTACGGCAGCAGGATACACCGCATCACTCGTGAAAATAACTTCCATATGCAATGAAAGCCACGGGGAGGGTATCTGTCATAATACTTCATTATCACTGAAAACATTTTTTCCCCTGAAATAAATTCCAGTGAATATGCCATTTCCCTCATACTCTATTGAGACACAGCGCAGTGAAAATTGGATTCACATGTAATGCTTGAAAACATGTCAGAAAAAATAAATTAAGTGAAATTCTACGTGACTTCATAATAGTTGGAAATGAACACATTACACCCGACCCTACCACTCTATATACAATGTAAACTACACCCCAAAACATCCTTTCACCCACAGTTACTACCGTGTTTCACCAGTGTATTCTATTTGACGTCAGGAGAAATTGAAATAAACAAATTAATTATAATTTCAGCCTCTAGTTGACCACTGATTAAATAAACTACCTCGTCTTTATGTCAACTTGCAGTTATTCGTTGCCTACACCAGTGACTTCAAAATATATGTTTCAATCCCAGGAATTTCACTCGCTGTTAATTGCATGGGAGTGGCAGTCTTTAATGAATTTCTATTGTCATGTCAATTTCTTGCGATTACTCGAACATTAAGCTGTAACCACATACCGCCTAGGTGCTGTAATTAAATCCTGGTGTAAGCACCATATGAACTATGAACAATGTATGTGAAGCCAGCTGTGGGGTATATTCAATCCTATAGATTTCTCATTGTTTGGTAACTATTTGCTGCAAATGCAACAAAAATCAATATAAAAAATATTACCCACACAGTATTCTACAGGTTACTTGTATATGTTTTTGTTTCTCTACACAGGCAGAAAGAAGTGTACAGCAAGCAGACGACGAAGGTAAGTATAGTTTAGCCATAGCCTGCCCCGCAGTTTTCCGCCGGAAATATCAATCTATGTCAACAAACTGTAAAATACTTTATATTATTTATCTGATTTTTTAATGTGAAATTTAGAAAAAAAACACGTATTTTCATTAATCTATCCTGTTAGCGAGAATTGCAAAAAAAAAGACAAATGAAAATAAAGTTTTCGTCCGTATTAGTTAGTGAATACATGTTGCTGGGCCATGAAGCGCAATAGCATACATGTGTACTATATTTCCCCCAGTGGATTTTGAGACCGTGGCATAGACCAGTAACCAAAACCACATAGTGACTGTCCCGTCAACACTATCAAAGTGTGAGCCACACAGTAAGTGACTTTCAAAAACAAGTCATAAGGATACATGTATTTTGATGTCAGATTATCCACTAATTCACTAAATATTTTCTTCATATTCAGTCCAGCGTGAAAAACGAAGTGGTCCACGAAGACCCAATAGTCGAATAATCGGTGGCATACTAGATGCTTTTGAAACTGCTGTAGAAGCAGTTGGGGATTTATTCAGTAGTAGCAGTGAGAGTGAAGGAGATGATGAGTGTGAGCCAATAACTGTAGCTCGTTCTGGTCGTGGTGGCGGACGTGGTAGGGGCCGTGATGATAGTGATGACCGTGATGATAGTGGGGGACGTAGCCGTGTTGGGGGACGTAGCCACGGTGGACGTAGTCGTGGTAAAAACAGTCGGGGTAATAAAGGATGTAGAACAACAGAGGACGCAAACTCTCAAGATGAAAACTATTCTCGTGGTAAAGAACAGGAAGGTATGAATCTACACATTTAACACATAATTCATGTTTCACAACTCATTTGTTTTAAGCTCCTAGGTTGCTATAAGCTTTCCCTATTGATCATACCGAATAATTGACACATATCAACACGTCTCTAATATGTATGATGTTATTGTTGATATATATTGACTATTTAGCAATAATATTAACAAATATCATGTCTCACCATGCTTTTCATTGAATGTTGGTTGACTCAGAATGTTACTGTAAGATCAATCCAATACATAATGTTTTTTTCATAGAAGTATATGTTCCAAGCACACACCATTGTAGTATGAAATTTGTTAAAAATCACAAAAAAAACATATAAAAAATAAAAAATACAATGTATTATATAAAGAAATCACATACTTATCACATAAAATTAGGAGTTAATCACCATCAGTTATGTGCATGTAATTATATGTTATTTTGTGTTATTTTGCACTGTATTTGCACATCTTCAATCTGACAGGTTATTTCATACCTCGGGTCCAATTGGACACTTTGTTGTCACATACATATCACTACAAATTGACGGAATCTCAGTTGAAGAGTGTGCACATCAATGTTACACACAAACAGAATTTTTATGTCGGTCATTTGATTACAAAGAAGAAAGGGAGATCTGTTGGATAAGTGACAGTAACACAGTAACAGTCGCATTACGCATTATGTGGGAAATCCATATAATTATTATGAGCGTAGAAATACTAGTAAGTCATGTGACTTCACACATTACATGGTTTTGTTTGTTTGATTAATCAATGCTCATTATTTGGTGTTTATATCATAACTGCTGTAATATAATGTTAATGTTGGTCTTAATCCTGACTTTCGTGTTGTCGGGTTTCACCAGAACACTCTTAGAGGGCGTAACATTAAAGTACCCGAATGACAGAGATGTTAGAGTGGTAATTGGTGTGGGGTTGAATTAATACAACATTCTATGCACATGCGGGAAGTGTTTTATTTCCAGATTTGGACCAACAGGCATATAAAACGATCGTCAGGGTCCTAGGGACGACCATTTGTTTTATCATCATGTTCTACAAGTTCAATAAGCTTTGTCTTTCGTACATTACTGCATGTTATGCCTGCTCCTGGGGAAATTTATGAAGTTCTGGAACTGTTTTCAAACTACCCCCGGTAAGATTATTCAAGATGTTACACCTTGGTCATTCAAAAACAATTCAATGTGCCGTGCACCCACATAAGTTCAAACCTTGAAATGGTTATGCAAATAAGCAGCCATTAGGAACTTGAAAGTCAGGAGTTGCTTTGCATCATTATAACATTACAAGAGTGCTGTTATGTTATCCATCATGTCAACAGCACTTTCAGCTGTTTCATAAATGATTAAGCCATTTCTGAATGTTTGATACTAGTTGCCAGAAATCTGTCAACAAGGATTTATAGATTTCAATGTTTGTATTCGGTGTTCTTAGGACTATCTATATCTCAGATCTGCCTAGACCTCTGTATGAAGATGCTTCTGTGTATTTTGTGTCCCTCAGTCTGGCTATACTTTGCCTAGATCTATTTGGTGTTTAGTTTAACTAAGATTATTATTGCTATCTTAATTCTTGCTGTTATTCGTACAACAAACCATGATTCTACAGATCTTCAGAAGCATTATGAATCCCTTGCTTAGTTGAACCTCTTCCCTTAGTTGCACCTCTTTTTTGATATCTTCTTTTATAGTTGCACCTCTTTTTTGATATCTTCTTTTATAGTTGCACCTCTTTTTTGATATCTTCTTTTATAGTTTTTGATATCTTTTATAGTTGCACCTCTTTTTTGATATCTTCTTTTATAGTTGCACCTCTTTTTTGATATCTTCTTTTATAGTTGCACCTCTTTTTTGATATCTTCTTTTATAGTTGCACCTCTTTTTTGATATCTTCTTTTATAGTTGCACCTCTTTTTTGATATCCTTTTATAGTTGCACCTCTTTTTTGATTTCTTCTTTTATAGTTGCACCTCTTTTTTGATATCTTTTATAGTTGCACCTCTTTTTTGATATCTTCTTTTATAGTTGCACCTCTTTTTTGATATCTTTTATAGTTGCACCTCTTTTTTGATATCTTCTTTTATAGTTG